TCACACACACACACACAGACACACACACAGACACACACACACACACAGTCACACACACACACAGTCACACACACACACAGACATACACACAGACACACACACACACAGTCACACACACACACAGACACACACACACACAGTCACACACACACACAGTCACACACACACACACACAGTCACACACACAGTCACACACACACACAGTCACACACACACAGACACACACACACAGTCACACACACAGTCACACACAGACACACACAGTCACACACACACACACAGACACACACAGACACACACACACAGTCACACACACACACAGTCACACACACACAGTCACACACACACAGTCACACACACACACAGTCACACACACAGTCACACACACACAGTCACACACACAGCCACACACACACACACAGTCACACACACACAGACACACACACACACAGCCACACACACACAGACACACACACACAGCCACACACACACACAGCCACACACACACACAGTCACACACACACACAGTCACACACACACACAGTCACACACACAGTCACACACACAGTCACACACACACACAGTCACACACACACACACACAGTCACACACACACACAGTCACACACACACAGTCACACACACACACAGTCACACACACACAGTCACACACACACACAGTGACACACACAGTCACACACACACACACAGTCACACACACACACACAGTCACACACACACAGTCACACACACAGTCACACACAGTCACACACACACAGTCACACACACAGACACACACACAGACACAGTCACACACACACACAGTCACACACACACACACAGTCACACACAGACACACACACACACACACAGTCACACACACACACAGTCACACACACAGTCACACACAGTCACACACACACACAGTCACACACACACACAGTCACACACACAGACACACACACACACAGTCACACACACACACAGTGACACACACAGTCACACACACACACACAGTCACACACACACACACAGTCACACACACACACACAGTCACACACACACACAGTCACACACACACACACAGTCACACACACACAGTGACACACACAGTCACACACACACACAGTCACACACACACACAGTCACACACACACACAGTCACACACACAGTCACACACAGTCACACACACACACAGTCACACACACACACAGTCACACACACAGACACACACACAGACACAGTCACACACACACACAGTCACACACACACACACAGTCACACACAGACACACACACACACACAGTCACACACACACACACAGTCACACACACAGTCACACACAGTCACACACACACACAGTCACACACACACACAGTCACACACACAGACACACACACACACACACAGTCACACACACACACAGTGACACACACAGTCACACACACACACACAGTCACACACACACACACAGTCACACACACACACAATCACACACACACACAGTCACACACACACAGTCACACACACAGACACACACACACAGTCACACACACACACAGTCACACACACAGACACACACACAGTCACACACACACACATACACAGTCACACACACACACAGACACACACACACACACAGTCACACACACACACAGTCACACACACACACACAGTCACACACACACTCACAGTCACACACACACACACAGTCACACACACACACACACACAGTCACACACACACACAGTCACACACACAGTCACACACAGTCACACACACACACAGTCACACACACACACAGTCACACACACAGTCACACACACACACACAGTCACACACACAGTCACACACACACACAGTCACACACACACAGTCACACACACACACAGTCACACACACACACAGTCACACACACACACAGTCACACACACACACAGTCACACACAGACACACACACACAGTCACACACAGACACACACAGTCACACAGACACACACAGTCACACACACACACACAGTCACACAGACACACACACACAGTCACACACACACACAGTCACACACACACACAGACGCAGACACACACACAGTCACACACACACACAGTCACACACACACACAGTCACACACAGACACACACACACAGTCACACACAGACACACACAGTCACACAGACACACACAGTCACACACACACACACAGTCACACACACACACACAGTCACACACACACACAGTCACACACACACACACAGTCACACACACACACAGTCACACACACACAGTCACACACAGCCACACACAGTGACACACACAGTCACACACACACACAGTCACACACACACACAGTCACACACAGTCACACACACACACAGACACACACACACAGTCACACACAGTCACACACAGTCACACACAGTCACACACACAGTCACACACACAGTCACACACACACACAGTCACACACACACAGACACACACACACAGTCACACACAGCCACACACAGTGACACACACAGTCACACACACACACAGTCACACACACACACACAGCCACACACACAGTGACACACACAGTCACACACACACACACAGTGACACACACAGTCACACACACACAGTCACAGTCACACACACACAGTCACACACAGCCACACACGCTGTGTGCTTACGTGAGGAGCTGCGCGTTGTTGTGCCCCAGACGGGGTCCCAGATCCCTCGCCCTCCACTCTGAGAACTGGGCCAGAGTCTGCGACGGGTCCACGGACACGTGGCAGCGGTCGCCCTGCGTCCAAACCTCCAGTCCCACCAGCAGCACGCGCACTCGCAGCTGACGGTACAGCTGCGAGACACAGGCGGACAGGTGGCGGACAGGTGGTGGACAGGTGGTGGACAGGTGGTGGACAGGTGGACAGGTGTACAGGTGGTGTACAGGTGTGAGGTGTACAGGTGTACAGGTGTACAGGTGGTGTACAGGTGGTGGACAGGTGGTGTACAGGTGGTGTACAGGTGTACAGGTGGTGGACAGGTGTACAGGTGGTGGACAGGTGGTGTACAGGTGTACAGGTGGTGGACAGGTGGTGGACAGGTGTACAGGTGGTGGACAGGTGGTGTACAGGATGTGTACAGGTGTACAGGTGGCGGACAGGTGGTGGACAGGTGGCGGACAGGTGGTGGACAGGTGTACAGGTGGTGGACAGGTGGTGGACAGGTGGTGTACAGGTGGTGGACAGGTGGTGTACAGGTGGTGGACAGGTGGTGGACAGGTGGTGTACAGGTGGTGGACAGGTGGTGGACAGGTGGTGTACAGGTGGTGGACAGGTGTACAGGTGTGAGGTGTACAGGTGTACAGGTGTACAGGCGGACAGCTGGTGTACAGGTGTACAGGCGTACAGGTGTACAGGTGGTGGACAGGTGGTGTACAGGTGGTGGACAGGTGTACAGGTGTACAGGTGGTGGACAGGTGGTGTACAGGTGGTGTACAGGTGGTGGACAGGTGGTGTACAGGTGTACAGGTGGTGGACAGGTGGTGTACAGGTGGTGTACAGGTGGTGGACAGGTGGACAGGTGTACAGGTGTACAGGTGTGAGGTGTACAGGTGTACAGGTGTACAGGTGTGAGGTGTGAGGTGTGAGGGGTACAGGTGTACAGGTGTGAGAAGTACAGGTGTGAGGTGTACAGGTGTACAGGTGTACAGGTGGTGTACAGGTGTACAGGTGTACAGGTGTGAGGTGTGAGGTGTGAGGGGTACAGGTGTACAGGTGTACAGGGGGTGTACAGTTGTACAGGTGGACAGGTGTGAGGTGTGAGGTGTACAGGTGTACAGGTGGTGTACAGGTGTACAGGTGTACAGGTGTGAGGTGTACAGGTGTACAGGCGTACAGGCGTACAGGTGTACAGGTGGTGTACAGGTGGTGTACAGGCGTACAGGTGTACAGGTGTGAGGTGTGAGGCGTACAGGTGTACAGGTGTACAGGTGTACAAGTGTGAGGTGTGGGGTGTACAGGTGTACAGGTGTGAGGTGTGGAGTGTACAGGTGTACAGGTGTACATGTGTCAGGTGTACAGGTGTGCATGTGTACAGGTGTGAGGTGTACAGGTGTACAGGTGAACAGGTGGTGTACAGGTGTACAGGTGTCAGGTGTGCATGTGTACAGGTGTGAGGTGTACAGGTGTACAGGTGAACAGGTGGTGTACAGGTGTACAGGTGTGCATGTGTACAGGTGTGAGGTGTACAGGTGTACAGGTGTACAGGTGGGGTACAGGTGTACAAGTGTACAGGTGGTGTACAGGTGGACAGGTGTACAGCTGCAAGACACAGGCGTACAGGTGTACAGGTGTGAGGCGTACAGGTGTACAGGTGTACAGGTGTGAGGTGTGAGGCGTACAGGTGTACAGGTGTACAGGTGTGAGGTGTGGGGTGTAGAGGTGTGAGGTGTACAGGTGTACACCTGTACACCACCTGTACACCTGTACAGGTGGTGTACAGGTGTAAAGGTATGAGGTGTACAGGTGTACAGGTGTACAGGTGGAGAGGTGTGAGATGTGAGGTGTACAGGTGTGAGATGTGAGGTGTACAGGTGTACAGGTGTACAGGTGTGAGGTGTACAGGTGTACAGGTGTACAGGTGGAGAGGTGTGAGATGTGAGGTGTACAGGTGTGAGATGTGAGGTGTACAGGTGTACAGGTGTGAGATGTGAGGTGTACAGGTGTACAGGTGTGAGGTGTGAGGTGTACAGGTGTACAGGTGTGAGGCGTACAGGTGTACAGGTGTACAGGTGTACAGGTGTGAGGTGTAAGGTGTATAGGTGTACAGGTGTACAGGTGTACAGGTGTGAGGTGTAAGGTGTACAGGTGTACAGGTGTGCATGTGTACAGGTGTACAGGTGTAGAGGTGTACAGGTGTACAGGTGTACAGGTATGTGGTGTACAGGCGTACAGGTGAGAGGTGTACAGGTGTACAGGTATCCAGGTGTACAGGTGTGAGGTGTACAGGTGTACAGGTATCCAGATGTACAGGTGTGAGGTGTACAGGTGTGAGGTGTACAGGTATACAGGTGTGAGGTGTCAGGTGGGTGGGGTTCACGGTGGCCGTGTGGGTGGGTCGGGGTCACGGTGGGTGGGTAGGGGTCACGGTGGGTGGGTAAGGGTCACGGTGGGTAGGGGTCACGGTGGGTGGGTGGGGTCACGGTGGGTAGGGGTCACAGTGGGTGGGTCGGGGTCACGGTGGGTAGGTAGGGGTCACGGTGGGTGGGTAGGGGTCACGGTGGGTGGGTAGGGGTCACGGTGGGTGGGTAAGGGTCACGGTGGGTAGGGGTCACGGTGGGTGGGTGGGGTCACGGTGGGTAGGGGTCACAGTGGGTGGGTCGGGGTCACGGTGGGTAGGTAGGGGTCACGGTGGGTGGGTAGGGGTCACGGTGGGTGGTAGGGGTCACGGTGGGTGGGTAGGGGTCACGGTGGGTAGGGGTCACGGTGGGTAGCGGTCAGGGTGGGTGTGTAGGGGTCACAGTGGGTAGGGGTCACGGTGGGTGGGTAGGGGTCACGGTGGGTGGGTAGCGGTCACGGTGGGTGGGTAGAGGTCACGGTGGGTGGGTAGGGGTCATGGTGGGTGGGTAGGGGTCACTGTGGGTAGGGGTCACGGTGGGTGGGTAGGAGTCACGGTGGGTGGGTAGAGGTCACTGTGGGTAGGGGTCACGGTGGGTGGGTAAGGGTCACGGTGGGTAGGGGTCACGGTGGGTGGGTAGGGGTCACGGTGGGTGGGTAGCGGTCACGGTGGATGGGTAGAGGTCACGGTGGGTGGGTAGGGGTCATGGTGGGTGTGTAGGGGTCACGGTGGGTAGGGGTCACGGTGGGTGGGTAGGGGTCACGGTGGGTGGGTAGCGGTCACGGTGGGTGGGTAGAGGTCACGGTGGGTGGGTAGGGGTCATGGTGGGTGGGTAGGGGTCACTGTGGGTAGGGGTCACGGTGGGTGGGTAGGAGTCACGGTGGGTGGGTAGGGGTCACGGTGGGTGGGTAGGGGTCTCGGTGGGTAGGGGTCACAGTGGGTAGGGGTCACGGTGGGTGGGTAGGGGTCACGGTGGGTGGGTAGGGGTCACGGTGGGTGGGTAGGGGTCACGGTGGGTGGGTAGGGGTCACGGTGGGTGGGTAGGGGTCACGGTGGGTGGGGGTCACGGTGGGTGGGTAGGGGTCACGGTGGGTGGGGGTCACGGTGGGTAGGGGTCTCGGTGGGTAGGGGTCACAGTGGGTAGGGGTCACAGTGGGTAGGGGTCACGGTGGGTGGGTAGGGGTCACGGTGGGTGGGTATGGGTCACGGTGGGTGGGTAGGGGTCACGGTGGGTGGGGGTCACGGTGGGTAGGGGTCTCGGTGGGTAGGGGTCACAGTGGGTAGGGGTCACGGTGGGTGGGTATGGGTCACGGTGGGTGGGTAGGGGTCTCGGTGGGTAGGGGTCACGGTGGGTGGGTAGGGGTCACGGTGGGTGGGGGTCACGGTGGGTAGGGGTCACAGTGGGTAGGGGTCACGGTGGGTGGGTAGGGGTCACGGTGGGTGGGTAGGGGTCTCGGTGGGTGGGGGTCACGGTGGGTAGGGGTCACGGTGGGTGGGGGTCACGGTGGGTGGGTGGGGGTCACAGTGGGTGGGGGTCACGGTGGGTAGGGGTCACAGTGGGTGGGGGTCACGGTGGGTGGGTAGGGGTCACGGTGGGTAGGGGTCACGGTAGGTGGGTAGGGGTCACTGTGGGTAGGGGTCACGGTGGGTGGGTAGGGGTCACGGTGGGTGGGTAGGGGTCATGGTGGGTGGTAGGGGTCACGGTGGGTGGGTAGGGGTCACTGTGGGTAGGGGTCACGGTGGGTGGGTAGGGGTCACGGTGGGTGGGTCGGGGTCACGGTGGGTAGGGGTCACGGTGGGTGGGTAGGGGTCACGGTGGGTGGGTAGGGGTCACAGTGGGTGGGTCGGGGTCACGGTGGGTAGGTAGGAGTCACGGTGGGTGGGTAGGGGTCACGGTGGGTGGGTAGGGGTCACGGTGGGTGGGTAGGGGTCACGGTGGGTAGGGGTCACGGTGGGTGGGTAGGGGTCACGGTGGGTGGGTCGGGGTCACGGTGGGTGGGGGTCACGGTGGGTAGGGGTCACGGTGGGTGGGTAGGGGTCACGGTGGGTGGGTCGGGGTCACGGTGGGTGGGTAGGGGTCACGGTGGGTGGGTAGTGGTCACGGTGGGTGGGTAGGGGTCACGGTGGGTGGGTAGGGGTCACGGTGGGTGGGTAGGGGTCACGGTGGGTGGGTAGGGGTCACGGTGGGTGGGTAGGGGTCACGGTGGGTGGGTAGGGGTCACGGTGTGACTCACACGGTCCACGTGATTAGCGATCTCCATGAGGCGGCTCCTCACAGCTCCCATATCCCTCCCCATCTTCTGGAACTGAACACGAGTGGGGGAGGGGGGAGAAAGTAGTCCCCCTGAGTGAAAAAAGTAGTCCCTGGGTGAACAAAGTAGTCCCTGGGTGAACAAAGTAGTCCCTGGGTGAACAAAGTAGTCCCTGGGTGAACAAAGTAGTCCCTGGGTGAACAAAGTAGTCCCTGGGTGAACAAAGTAGTCCCTGAGTAAACAAAGTAGTCCCTGAGTGAAAAAAAGTAGTCCCTGGGTGAACAAAGTAGTCCCTGAGTGAAAAAAGTAGTCCCCCTGAGTGAAAAAAGTAGTCCCCCAGAGAACAAAGTATTTCCCCAGTGAACAAAGTAGTCCCCCAGTGAACAAAGTAGTCCCCCTGAGTGAACAAAGTAGTCCCTGAGTGAACAAAGTAGTCGTCCCTGAGTGAACAAAGTAGTCCCTGAGTGAACAAAGTAGTCCCCCCCCCCAGTGAACAAAGTAGTCCCTGAGTGAACAAAGTAGTCCCTGAGTGAACAAAGTAGTTCCTGGGTGAACAAGTAGTCCCTGGGTGAACAAAATAGTCCCCCAGTGAACAAAGTAGTCCCTGAGTGAACAAAGTAGTCCCAGAGTGAACAAAGTAGTCCCTGGGTGAACAAAGTAGTCCCTGAGTGAACAAAGTAGTCCCTGAGTGAACAAAGTAGTCCCTGGGTGAACAAAGTAGTCCCAGAGTGAACAAAGTAGTCCCTGCGTGAACAAAGTAGTCCCTGATTGAACAAAGTAGTCCCCGAGTGAACAAAGTAGTCCCTGAGTGAACAAAGTAGTCCCTGAGTGAACAAAGTAGTCCCTGAGTGAACAAAGTAGTCCCTGAGTGAACAAAGTATTCCCAGAGTGAACAAAGTAGTCCCTGGGTGAACAAAGTAGTCCCTGAGTGAACAAAGTAGTCCCTGAGTGAACAAAGTAGTCCCTGAGTGAACAAAGTAGTCCCTGAGTGAACAAAGTAGTTCCTGAGTGAACAAAGTAGTTCCTGAGTGAACAAAGTAGTCCCTGAGTGAACAAAGTAGTCACTGGGTGAACAAAGTAGTCACTGGGTGAACAAAGTAGTCACTGGGTGAACAAAGTAGTCCCCGAGTGAACAAAGTAGTCCTTGAGTGAACAAAGTAGTCCCTGAGTGAACAAAGTAGTCCCCCAGTGAACAAAGTAGTCCCTGAGTGAACAAAGTAGTCCCAGAGTGAACAAAGTAGTCCCTGGGTGAACAAAGTAGTCCCTGAGTGAACAAAGTAGTCCCTGAGTGAACAAAGTAGTCCCTGAGTGAACAGAGTAGTCCCTGAGTGAACAGAGTAGTCCCTGAGTGAACAAAGTAGTCCCTGGGTGAACAAAGTAGTCCCTGAGTGAACAAAGTAGTCCCTGGGTGAACAAAGTAGTCCCTGAGTGAACAAAGTAGTCCCTGGGTGAACAAAGTAGCCCCTGAGTGAACAAAGTAGTCCCTGAGTGAACAAAGTAGTCCCTGGGTGAACAAAGTAGTCCCTGAGTGAACAAAGTAGTCCCTGAGTGAACAAAGTAGTCCCTGGGTGAACAAAGTAGTCCCTGGGTGAACAAAGTAGTCCCTGAGTGAACAAAGTAGTCCCTGAGTGAACAAAGTAGTCCCTGGGTGAACAAAGTAGTCCCTGAGTGAACAAAGTAGTCCCTGAGTGAACAAAGTAGTCCCTGAGTGAACAAAGTAGTCCCCCCCCAGTGAACAAAGTAGTCCCTGAGTGAACAAAGTAGTCCCTGAGTGAACAAAGTAGTCCCTGGGTGAACAAAGTAGTCCCTGGGTGAACAAAGTAGTCCCTGGGTGAACAAAGTAGTCCCTGAGTGAACAAAGTAGTCCCTGGGTAAACAAAGTAGTCCCCCCCCCCAGTGAACAAAGTAGTCCCTGAGTGAACAAAGTAGTCCCTGGGTGAACAAAGTAGTCCCCCCCCCCCAGTGAACAAAGTAGTCCCTGAGTGAACAAAGTAGTCCCTGGGTGAACAAAGTAGTCCCTGGGTGAACAAAGTAGTCCCTGAGTGAACAAAGTAGTCCCCGAGTGAACAAAGTAGACCCTGAGTGAACAAAGTAGTCCCTGGGTGAACAAAGTAGTCCCTGAGTGAACAAAGTAGTCCCTGGGTGAACAAAGTAGTCCCCCTGAGTGAAAAAAAGTAATCCCTGAGTGAACAAAGTAGTCCCTGGGTGAACAAAGTAGTCCCTGAGTGAACAAAGTAGTCCCTGGGTGAACAAAGTAGTCCCCCTGAGTGAAAAAAGTAATCCCTGAGTGAACAAAGTAGTCCCTGGGTGAACAAAGTAGTCCCTGGGTGAACAAAGTAGTCCCTGAGTGAACAAAGTAGTCCCTGAGTGAACAAAGTAGTCCCTGAGTGAACAAAGTAGTCCCTGAGTGAACAAAGTAGTCCCTGAGTGAACAAAGTAGTCCCCCTGAGTGAAAAAAGTAATCCCTGAGTGAACAAAGTAGTCCCTGGGTGAACAAAGTAGTTCCTGAGTGAACAAAATAGTCCCTGGGTGAACAAAGTAGTCCCTGAGTGAACAGAGTAGTCCCTGAGTGAACAAAGTAGTCCCTGGGTGAACAAAGTAGTCCCTGGGTGAACAAAGTAGTCCCTGGGTGAACAAAGTAGTT